TATCTTGACCTGTCCATTTGCATGGAATAAAATTGCTCCCACCTTATTCCAATTCTCTGGGCTTCCTTTTCATTGTAGAACTGTTTAAGGAGCTGCTGAATCTTACCCCGTCTGGCATTACTAGATGCCCAGTTTTCCTACTCTTTTCCTTTAGACAATTTGTTGTATTCCACATGTTTTGAATAATTAATTCCAGTCAGTGTGAACAAAGGCCAGTGAATGTGTTACTCGCTGGACTGCAGATTGCCTAGAAGACCTTGTTTGTTTAGTTTGAGCAGATGTAGGCTTTAAAAGTTTATAGAGATACTGGCCTTCATAAATTCACAGCTGTTTAAGTACACTGACAAACATTGATTGATTGGTTTGATTTATATCCTAAGTTTTGATCAGAAACTCAAGGTAAGGCAGAGAGTGTTCTTCCAATAATTCCATGAATAGGTTGGGCTGTGACTGTTCCAAGGTCAGATCCCCTCCCTCCCTTGATTCAGCAGATGAGGCAGTGATCATAACCTGGAATGATCATTCATTTTGAGATCATATTTTTTATGACCTTAGGCTTCAAAGGAACAGCTGCAAGAAAAATGGATCATTATTTGGATTCAAGAACAGAAAAAAATAAGGGACTACAGGAGCATAATTTCATAAACTTGTTCCTCTTAGGCTAGTATTGCACCTTGATTTGTGCTGAACAGTCTCTTAATCTCAGTTCAAATCCAGAATCAGTCACAAGTAGCGTTTATTTATTTTTATGTTGTACAAATTGGAATTAAATTAATAATAGCAATTAGGGCATGCTGTAAAATACTGTATATACACAATCTTTGAGCTTGTATCCCTCTATATCTACAAAAACATATGTCCAGTAATGTCCCTGATAGTCTTGCTATCTATGATAAACTTAGTTGCAGGTTAGCTCACCTGTCCCGCACTACATATGTCAACCAAGTAACCAAATTCCTATGATTAGGATCATTTCCGGAGTTTAATGCCAGGATACTAGTGTTTTCTCATATTGATTTCTGTTCAGTCATGTTTGATTGTCAGAGACTGGACAAATTCTTGCAGTTTTCTTGGCAAGGTGGTTTGCCTTGCCTCCTTCCTACAACTGAGAGAAAATGACAGGCTCAATGTTGATCAGTTGGCTTTACCTGCGGGTTTCTAACCTGATGCTTTAACCACTACAACCACTTCATTTTCTTTATTACATGCCTAATAACTAAGGTCCCGAAAAATTGCTAATGCATTAAATTCCTTTCTTTCAATGGGATTGTGTTCAGTACTGAATTAGGGTCGAAGAATGTGTAGGCATTTGTATACATAACCCATTAACATTTGTTTGTAAGGTTTGGCATGAATGCAGCTTCCCCTATATTATAAATTCATTCCCCAGTTTTGTGCTTAGTTCCAAACATTAGTTCCTCGTGTTCCCCTGGTGGTGGATTATAACTTTCCAGTTGAGTTGGCCTTCCTGCACTTAGACCATCTCTCTTTGTTTCTCCATCAGAAAGACGTCAGTGGTGCATCATCTGCCTATTGGTCATCACTGGTGTGGTGATACTGATCCTTCTTTTTGCTCTGTGGCCAACTGACAGATGAACATAGGGAAAATGGAAAAGATGCCACCAACCCTGTTCCTTTCATGTGGAAAGCCTGAAGCCACCATGGCTTTATGTCCTATATGGGGTGAGGGCTAGTGAAGACATAGTAGGACAATGACAAGAATGTTGGATTCTCACTGGGCTTCCCTCCCTTGTATTCACATTGTTCTCCCCTAACTATTAGGAGCTACAGGTTTGTGACAAGGGAGGATCTGCTTGTTGGTACTTATCAACTCATCAAGGTAGTCCAGACCAGGAAACCAAAATAATGAATGCTAATACTATTTTTATTGTAAGGTTACATTAATAGACTCTTGCAAGTCTGAAAGCACTTCTCCTTTCCGACTTGTTCCCTGCCTTCACTTTCCAGAGAACTAGGGAGAATTCTGAAGAAATTACACTTCTGTTTTGGGCTCAGATTTCATTTATCAGACCATTATGTAAACTGCAGCTCTTCCTTGTGCCTCATAAAGCTCTTCTTACAGCCCATTCCTGTACTTTAGGATGGGAATTTGTGTACTGCCTTTTTTTTTTTTTGCCATACTTGGGAAATATTGGATTTGCCTACCTGTGTTTCTTAATTGTGATCATGCTCTACCCTCTCTTTGGGTCACCAGCTTAGAAAAAATAAGCAGAAGTATTTATTTTCTGTTTTTAGTCTTAAATATCCAATTCCTTTATACCAACTCTGCATCTGTGTAACTTATCTCTGCATTGAATATATCTGATGAAGCACAATTGACTTAAAGGGCTACCTATTTTTCAGCCGAACCAATCAAAAACGGTGGAAGAATTAGATAGGATAACAGTATGTTCTGTTTGTTGAGTTGGTGAAATACTTGGTAAAATTATAAGGGTTGAAGATGATCTAAAACTGTATTTCTATTCTATTTAAATGCTTAATGAAAGCAAACACTACCTCTCGATCCCCCATCCCTCTGGTTAGCTGTTTTCTAAAAATTGGGAGATAAAACATTTGTCATTATGTAAATGTATATTACAGCATTGTGCATCAGGATGCAACTGATGGTGATGCTTCTGGGCTAGGCAAAACAAAGCTGACTTACCAATCAATGTACCTGTTCTCTTTTCAACTTAAGCCTGGTAAAACATGGTCGGCAGATCATCTCAGCATTGGCAAAGTGGATTCTGCCCAGAAAATAAAACACTGGCTATTTCCAGGGGTGTCCAAGTGACTCAGTTTTCCATAAGCAATATCTCTATGGGATATTTTGTTGTTACAGACACTTGACCATATATATGATTATAGAGCAGGCATTGGCAGACATCAGATGTAAGATCTTTATTATCTAAAAACCTGAAGTTTACCAATCTGCTTGGCGCAAAGAATGCCGAACCTTGGAATTTAGAAAGATACTTACAAGGGCTATGGTAGGGAGAAAAACTGTTTCTTGTTAGATCAAGCTTTATATGGGTGAAGGGAAAGTTTTGGTTGCTGCTATTCTGAATTCTTGTGCTGCTGAAACTATACAAATTATTGGATCTATCTTTTGCCTATCCCCTTTTAGAAAAATGTTAAAACATTTTTTTTAAATAAACATTTTATACTTGTACGTAAAGCACCTGTTTTGGACTATTTTATTGANGTTTAGCGTTTACAGCGTGCTTTTTTCTCCGCGCTGTTGTCGCGCTGTGATGACGTCAGCTATGCGGTTTCGTCAAGCGCCCTTTAGTCAAACGCGGTTTTGTGGTGGAACCGAATTCATTTCCTAGACTTGTCTCCAGCAGTGCAAAATCAAAGGCATTGTGACTTACCCTGCCAGGTCACCTTAGGAAGGGGCTAGTGGGGGTTGTGAACTTGAAGGTGGGAAACAGCTCCTCCTTCTGGTCCCAGATGCCTTGTGTTACTTCCTCCATCCCTTACAAATTATGTCTTTCCTTTGGCTATGCAGAGAAGTTCAGAAAGCAGTGAATGCAGCCCAAGGCCTTTATCAACGTTGGGGCCAGCTGCTCCAGGAGACCCAGATTGTGAACAAGGAGGAACTGAACTGGACTACCAATGAATTACGCAACACCTTGCGCAGCATTGAGTGGGACTTGGAGGATTTGGAAGAAACAATTTATATCCTTTTGAGGCTGAGAGTGAAATTAGGTTGGGATAACCTCCCTCAGTGATGCTATTATATCCTTTAAAAACAACAACAACTTCCTGCCTGCTTGTAAGACAGCCGTAGCAGCATTTTGCTTCTGCATTTCTGATGTAAATCTGTTTCCCCAACCTGGTAGGGGAACAAGCAAGAGAAATTGAACTTCTGGTGACTGAACATCAGAGTAAGACCCACGTATTGGAATCCAGCCCTGTCTAATTTTTAAACTTACAACCTCCAAGTCCTTTGCCCTTAACCCATAATTACGCATTGTAGAATCAAACCCACAAAAGTTTACCATTGCACCATCTGAGGTTGCAGCACGACGTTCTTTTGTCACAGAGATGCGGGAGTCGGTCAAGGTGAGACTTCCTGAAGCATATACCCGATTCTGCATCCGGGGAGGACAGGATGTGATGAATAAATATCTTAATTGTTGCTATTGAATAGCCACCTTGGATGTAAATTCTTAGTTTTTGATTGATTCTGAGCAAAATTTAATGTTATGGAATTCATTTTCTATCAAAGAATTATGATAGAATTATGACAAATTGAAAAGGCCACAAATTCTGGATATTATCAGGCCTCTTGGTGGCTTTATGTTTCTTTATAGATTTGGTTAAGTTCAAAAATTTGAGTGATGCGGTGGCTCAGTGGCTAAGACGCTGAGCTTGTCAATCAGAAAGGTTGGCAGTCAGTAGTTTGAATCCCTAGCGCTACATAACAGCTCCTGTTACTTGTCCCAGCTTCTGCCAACCTAGCAGTTCAAAAGCACATAACAAATGCAAGTAAAAAAATAGGGACCACCTTTGTGGGAAGGTAACAATGTTCTGTGCGCCTATGGCATTTAATCATGCTGGCCACATGACCATGGATACATCTTCGGACAGCGCTGACTCTTCGTCTTTGAAATGGAAATGAGCACTGACCCCTAGAGTCGGAACAAGTAGCAAGGGAAATCTTTATCTTTAAGATCAAAATTATGGAGATTATCATGTCACTGCATATGCGATGCAAATCGCAAGTATGTGATTTGCATCAGTTTTGTGGCATAACTACATCTATAGCAAATATTTACTTAACAACTGTGGTGATTTGCTTAAGAACTACTGCAAAAAGGATTGTAAAATTGGGTCAATCATGTGTCTGACTCATTTTACAACCATCATGAGTTACAAGCACGATGGGTAGGCTCCATTACAGTAATAACTTGAGGACTATCTTTGGTTAAATAGGAATCTATTTACCTGGAGCCCTAGGGAAGAAAAAACCACCATTCTTTCTACTAATACACTCTTAGTGGACACCATCTTTATTGCTTCTTTTCTGTTTTCTGTAGGAAATGCAGGATCACATGTCTGACCCAGCAGCCCAGTCCTTTGTGGAGAGGAACAACCGAGAGGTAGGGTCTTCTGCTCCCTCCACTTTGCTTGGAATTTCCTTCGGGATGGAAGAGTCATAATATGACAGTGGCTATTTTAGCCTCTGCCACAAAGGATTTTCTAAGCCAAAGATCTCCTGGCAAGTTTTTGCTTGAATTCTCTGGTTTCTTCTTATCTCTTTCCCTGCAACATAACTTATGAATTCTTTCTCAAGAAACATGGCAACGTTTAATTAGGGCTCTGACTTACTGCATTGGTTTCCCCTATTCGGAAGCCACTGTGAAAACAATTTGTTTTTAAAAGAGATTAAAAAAATCAGAAGTGAAGTATCCTACAATGGGTGTGTGAAGCTCGGGACCTGATGTTTTTGTCATCTGTGGTTCTGGATGAAGTTGCACTTCCCCATGAAGACCCAGTTTGTTAACTAGGCAGTCCTCCTGGACTCGTGTTTCCACTTAAAAAGAGCAGGTGGTAGGTGTGATTGGGAGCTTTTGCACAACTCGAGTTTGTTCACCAGCTGCAACCTTTCCTGGATCTTGACTCCCTGTGTTCAATTATTCAAGCTCTAATCGTCTCCCCTCTGCACTACTGCAATGCGCTTCCACACAGGGCTACCCGTGACATCCATTTGGAAGCTTCAACTGGTGGAAAGTGTGGCATCGGAAGAAAACTTTGGAGCCCCTAGGATGTAATACATCTCTGCTCCTCAAGCTACACTGGCTACTGGTCTGCTTCCAAGCCAAGGTGTTGATTATGACCTTTAAAGCCCTTAATGGCATAGGTCCAGGCTAGATGAATTGTCTTATCCCACTAAGATTAGCTTGTTCTACTTGGGCTGGCATGGAGGGCTTTCTGTGGATTGTATCCGTCAAAGAACTCCAGCTGTCAGAGTCCAGAAGAAATCCAGAAGAAGAGCCCTCTCTGCTACATAACCTGCCCTTTGGAACATCCTGGCCAACCAGGGAAGATCAGCCCCCAACATCCTATCTTTCCTAACAGCCTAAAGACCTGGATCAGCAAATCGACCTGGGGACCCATGCGGGAGTTCTGCTCTGAAGGTGGCTGCTCGATTGATAGCAGATGCCACCTTACCTCCCCTCTCCCAACTCCCCACTCGTCCATCTTTTTAAACTAACCCTATCCATGTATTTTCTTTGCTTTCTTTTTCTTTGTTTACTGCTCTATTATTTTACTTTTACTTTTTTCAAACTTCCTTTTTATTTGTTCATTTTTTTATTGTTGTGAGCCACCTAAAGTAGCCACAAATAAAATTAAGAATAATAATAATATCGTGACCCGTCAAAACCGCGTTCCACAAAAGCGCGGTCGACGAAAGCGCGTATGTGACGTCATCACAGCGCGATGAAAAAGATC